CTCCTTCTGGATGCAATGCTCAGGTTTAAAAAAATTGCAGATTAACAACTAACTGAAACAGCTACAGAAATGGAGCATGGTAACAACCATGAGAATTCAGGGTTCTCAGTGGTAGGCCAGGAGCAAGCTTGTTGTGAGACTGGAAAGTGCTGTGCACCCTGTAAATAAGATACATGGACTGCCCTCTACAGTGTATCATTAGACTTTGATTAGTTGGCATGTTCCTAAGTCACTAGGCCTATTTTAAAATTCAAGTTGTACATTTCATTTATCTTCCCACTTACCCATACCATCTGAATCTAAGTGTGAAAGCTTGATCTGCCACATTTATCTTTCTTTGCTTTAGACATTTCTCCATTGCTTTACGTTTACTTTCCCTAACAGAGAAATAAATGTTATTCTTCCTTTGGTAATCTACTAAAACCCCCTCTGTTGGTACTCATATTGCCAGTAGGGATATTCTCTAATGATTCTAATCCTCCTGTCCGTATCTGGGGAGTCATTACTTGGGAAAAACTTCTTTTGAATCATCAGACTTGGCCTGAAATTGAACTGATGGAGCCTTTATTTACCCCAGATACAGCACTGGTTTCAATGGCATGATAAATATTAAATGCTCACCAGTAAGACCAAAGGCTTTCTAAACTGGCCCTCACATATGCCAGTGGGACTTAACACCTCCCGTCCCAGCACCAGTCAACTGCAGAGATCGTCCCAAGCATATTTCTAATGCTGTGTAAGTCTGTTGGTTTTTATGAATTTACTGATGCCTAGCTTTATGCCTTGTATCCCATTTTCATTGCCATATGTAAAACTTGGGGTTTTTTTTCCCCTCTGTGAAAGTCTTCCACCGGGATCTGCTTCTCTGGACTGGGTGCTTTTAACAGCATCACAAACTCCTTTTCCCCAGCACATAGTTTCCCATCCTATTATATTTATGTCTCTGCTTGACTTTCTCTGCCAGCACATTTGTTGAGAAAATAACAGCCCTCGGGGGCAGATATTTCTTATATTCTTTTCATGCCTAAAATAATTGTACCTACTTATTAAAAACCTCACTGACAGCATGATACAATAACCTTTGTGATTTATTTATCTTTCAGTGAGCTTTAGAGAGAGAGCTACTGCCTCTTTTCCAACTTTGTACTCTATAGTCCATAATCAAATGCAGCCCTGCGCTCTGATGTTTGTAACATACTACAACAAGAAATTGGTCTTTGAATTACATTTATTCTACCCTTATCTAGTTGATTTACTGGTTCCTCAAATATTTGCTTCCTTATACTATCTTAATTTAAGATTCCTCCTGCCTATATTTCCTTTCACCATTCTTCTACAGAGAACAACGCTTTCCTAGCAGCACTTTGATGCTGTCTTCCCCATTTTCTGTATACAGCACCATGCCTACTTTTTTCCGTCGCTTTAGTCTTTAAAAAATCCAACTAAAAGATTTCAAGGGCATTAAAACCAGCTGGATTGCATGATGCATTTTTTTTTCTTTTCCCCAAGGAAGGTCTGCCTTCTGAAGGCACAAGCAAAACATTCATAGGAGGTACCAGTATCATTAAGGAACCTCCTTAAGATCCCTTGCCCTTGTATGCCCAGTATTTTTCTGGTAACTTTGCATGCAGGGCAAAGGACCTATTAGTTGTGGGTTTGTTTATGTTTTCTGGTAGGTGAGCCTGGAAACATGGCCAAAACCTCACCAGGTTCTGGTCTGTTCCTGCCGTTCTGGCTTGGAGTAACTCAACCGTCATCAACATTCCACTGGTACAACAGAGATCAGCATCTGGCCCCACAGCCTGCCCAAAGCAATGTTTGATACACGCGAAATCAAGAAGTTTAGCCTTTCTGTGGTGTCAACAAAGTACTCGTGGTTCCCTCTGTATGGGGGATCACAGACATACTGACTGGTGGCACCGTTGGATAGGGCTCAATGCAAAGCAGCTCCTTCACTCTATGCCTTGCTAATGAGAGATGAAGAGTAGATATTGGAGTAAATTTATTCCTATGACCAGTGAGGTGGACTGATCCTGGCACTGCTCCGCATCTGCCAGCACTGTGTGAATTAGCCTTGGAGGGCACCGTTACTTTTTTTTTTAGAAGAGGCTGCTGATTTCAAACCTCTGCCCTGTGGTGGAAGCTCTCAGCTGCGTGCCAAGGCTCTCGCAGAGCTCGGCTTAGAAACCAGGAGGAGCCCCAGCAGACCAGAAGAGCAGAGACATGGTTTTGCTGAACAAACAATGAAGCTTTGCTAGCTCAGCCTCACTATCAGTTCGATCTGTACCTGTGAATGAAAAGCAGATGAAAAGATCTACACGTTTGATCTGTTGGGTGTTTTTTTAATTAAAATCAGGTAACTGGAGTATGGGAACTCTCATCACGGAGCAGACTGACAACCCAAAATTGTAGGTGAACAGTACCAATCGCTTAGAATAAATCAAAAAAGAAATGGTAACAGGTTCTTCCAGAAAAATACCAAACAGAAAATGCAATTCTTAAACCTATTAGAGAAGAGGCAGCCCCATATCATGGGGCTGGTACAACTCAATGGCAAGGACTAAGAGCTTCACTTTACAGTCTCTCCTGCACGATACCGACCTCTTTGATAAAGTGGTATTTTGTGGCAAGGATTTACACAAATTAATTCTGAACATTTCTTTGAGTGGTTTAACTCTTCTTGGTTTTCATATCTCTGAGTGTCCCCTGTTTATCCTTAAAAGAGAAAATGGAAATGGAGCACCTGATTACCTCCTCACAATACTGCAGAGCATGGCATGGCTCGTGATGGCACTCCTTATTCTCTTCTAGTATGTTTTAAAGTTTCCCAGGGCTACTAACACATTTGTAGCCCAATTTTAAAGCCTCCTTTATCCCCCCCCAAAAAAAAAAATCATCCCGTTAGAAGGGAGTTTAACCGTTGAGAGCAAAAGAAAATCTCAGTTTTTCCTTTCCTGCTGTGTGCTGAAACAGAGCTATCTCGTCTGTTTTTTTTTTTAATTAGATCAAAAAAAGGCAACTAATAATGACCACAAATAGCAAAGCTTTGCCTGAAGTTGCTAATAATATTCTATCACCTTATCTTTAAATTGTTTTTCATGGATTATAGACGTTTATAATTATGAATCCCCCCAGCTTCATTTTATCTAGTACAGTAACATAATCAAAATCATCCTGCTCTAAACTCCCTATAGCAAATCCTCTTTTTAAAGCCCTTGTTCAACGTCCTCCCTCATTTTCATTTTCTTTGCTGCTGCTTATTATACTAAAGCCTAGCATCTGAAAATTGAACTGTAGTATTAACCATTTTTTCAACACAGACCGTACCTATTCTTTCTGGATGTTAATGCTGTAAGTATATTTTAAAACACCAGGCTGTCTGCAGTGAAATGCCTTGCATTCCCATTGTGTTACTGTAAATACCATTATTATGAAGAAATGATTGACCTTGTTTAACGCACTGTTCAAATAGTCTGCAGAAATGTCTGTGGTGCCAGTGTCATTCCCGTGCTTTAATTATAGGTTTTGTGATCCATGATCTTCCATTTGTTTGTGCTATAAGCTAATTATTTTTTCCTATCACAAAGCACTGGAACGATGTCTTAGTATTGATAATTTTTATTATTAAGTAGATTTGAACTTCACTCCTGCTCACTTGCTCCGCTAGGTCCTCAGTTTCCAAAGCTGCTCCTAAAAACTCACAAAACATCTAATTTCTTCTGCCTCCCACCCTCTTCACCTAAAACCAGGACATTTGATGACTCGTTTAGATCTGGACTTGCATTAGCAGAGAGTCACACCGCAGGGTTCATACAGGCACATACCTGCAGGGCAGCAGAACAATTCAGTACACCGCACAGCTGGGGTCCCACAGCTCTGGGCACCTCTCAAACCCTATGGTCAATAACCTCCATCAGATGTCCTTCACAGCTTGCAGCAGACTACATTCTTTTCTCTCAGGTCTTCAAATTCCCACGAGAAGGGTGATATAAGAGTGAGGAACCCAGTCTCCTGTGATATGTCTCTGCTTTTAACGCTACTCCCATACTGTCTTTGGCAGGCAGATACAGGAGAACTTGCTCTGCTCTGCCACCTGGGCACCCTGTAGTCACCTAACATGGCACCAGTCCTGAGACAATAACTCCAAATGAGTGGTGGATCATACGTGTTTGGGGCAAAGCGCTCAACTAATGGCAATGCACCTCTTCCATCATACAGGCTGCAGCAGAGGCACTGCTCACTTTCTGAAGTCACTTCAGCCCCACCGAAAGCTCTGCCAGGAGCTAGAGGCGCTTTCATTCTGAAAGCAGGCGCAACAAGGCATCATACCCAGAGGCTCCCAGGTGACCGTCATTGCCTTGCAGCAGGTAGGGGGGCCTACCTCATTAATCAAGCTTCTCCCGCTATAAAGCTACAGCTCTATTTCTAATTCAATTCCTAGGGATGCAAGGGGAAACACTGAAGCCCTATAAGCAACTACCCTCTGTGAAGCAGAAGACCCTGTAGCAGCATACTGCATATACTTAGAAGCCACTGAACTGTGGAATGTCAAAAATAACAGAAAACACTGGTTTTGTAGGATTTCCTGCATTAGTTTCTCAGAAGGAGATTCACTGATGTACTTTGACAGAAGCTGTCTTTCCCTGAATATAAATACCAGGGTGCAATCAACAGATCCCCTGCTAACGCTGGCTTGCAGGAGCAGATAGACAGCCGCCGCAGGTTCACTGCAAGGCACACTAAAGGGATCTGCAGCAGCTCTAGCCTGACATGTGCCAGCACACAAATGGGTATGTGTTCATCTGAAAACACATTCAGGTAGGTTGAAAAATCAGCCTAATAAGAACATGCCTCAAGTCCAAATACAGAAAATCTGGAAAAGGACTTAAAATGCACGCTGGGCTGACCAGGCCTCCTGTTCCACATGCCCTTAACTCTAGCAGGGATGCGAAAGACTCACAAGCTCTTGACCAGATCTCCCCTGTGCCGCAGCAAACTACCTGCAGCTCGGCAAGCGAAAGCATGAAGGAAACCGCTACTGATTTTAGGAAGCGATACCGGGGCTGCAGAACCCGGCCGCCACAGTCTGCTCGGCCACCTGCGAGAAGTACCGGCTCACCTGCCTGGCTTGCTCTGAGAAGTCAGAGAAAAAAGTACATCTCCACCTGATTTTCATCATCAGTCTTCTCTGGATGCCTGCGCACACTAGAAAGCCTGCAGGTCAGCTCCAGGAGCAAGCAAAGAAATATCACTTAGAAACAATTAAAGAGAGGCTCATGCTGTGATGCTGGATTCATTTTTTAAGAATCCCTAAGCATGGCAGGTATCTGGATATCGGTTGTTAGTTCATGTCCGCTCCTGGAAATGCAGCAAATTTGCGTTACTTTTCTGCTTCTGTAATTTCAATGAGCAGGTGTTAGACATGCCGCGAGGTCATTTGTTGTTATGCTTTTCTGCTCTTACTTGGTCGATTCACGTTTCTTACCTGCGTGTGAAGGGTTTCTCATTTTCCCGTGGGCTGCAGGCAGCTGCCTGCGCAGGGCTGGGCGGGGTGCGCTGCCCTCTCCGGGAAGCCTGGTGCTGGGTGGGGGAAAGAAGAGACTCGCCCGTCTTCATGCCGAGACCGTAACCCAAAGAGGATGCACACAAAGGTTTTCACTGGCTGCAGTGCGTGCCACAACCTTCCCGTGGTGGATTAATCTTCCTATGTGAACTGTGCCAAAATACTACACTTTCAAATGTGTCTACAATAACATATTACAGCAACTGTAAAGCACAAAAAGGGGGAATCAGAACAAGGTGAAAGAGACCTTTTCGAATTAAATGAAGAACAATAATTCTTCTTCTCATCAAGCTTTTTTGGTCAGTAGCTCTTGTATTTTACATCCAACAGCAAACACAGTAGCCATTTCCAGAACAGCGGTATCACTCATGTAAATACACCAAGGCAAATATGCTCACCAGAGGTAAACGCACTCACCGAATAGCTACAAGGAAAGCATTAAACTAGGGCTAAACACACTGAACACGTCTTAATCTGTCTGACATCAGGGGATGGAGAGCAGGCACCAGAGTGACCTGAAAAAAGCAGAAGCTGCAGGGGGGAGTAAGATCTTGGTGCCACTAAAACCTGGGGTGAGGTCGTGGTGGTCATCAGGGGCCAGGAGCTGGCCAGGCTTCCTGGCCTCTGCCCTCCTCCACCGCCCAGAGGGGCTGAGCTGGCTCACTCATGCAGCAATGGAAGCGCAACCCTCTGATGAAAACAAGACTGGCGGCTTTCGGGCAGCTGGGCTGGAGTTTGGGGCAGCCGTTTCCCCCTTTGCACTGCCCAGGGTGAGTGCAGAGCTCACGGGGTGTCTGCCAGGCAGCAGAACCAGATCCTGAAAGCCCGGAGACTCTCGGGGGGCTCAGTGCGGGCCTGCCTCGCTGCCTGCGTGCCCGCTGGCAGTGTGCATCTCACCCGAGGGGGACAGCAGCCCCGAAGAGGCCAAGGGATGCAGCCAGCACTCAGGTCTGAGCGCCTGGGACAGCTGTGCAGTGCACGACTGCCGCTCAGCTCAGCTCATGCTGTGCTGGTGTACAACTGCATTGCAGCACGTACCTGTACTCATTTCTGCGTTATGCATATTTTTATGCGTATATTCAGTTCTGCTTTATCCCCGTGTGACTCTCCTACTCGTATGGCTCTCCAGAACACTACTCAGAGGTGGCTGCCGCCAAGCAAGGTCTTCAGTACGGCTGCGGTAGTCATGCATGCCGAGGAGCAGCCCCAGCAGCCTCGGCCAAGGGCCTCCTTCACAACACCTTTCTTACTAAAGAAAGTAAATTTTTGCCTGGAGCAAAAATCTGGCCCTGCTGAAGTGAGTGAGTGACTTCCAGCTCCCTTGGTGGCTCCTTCTAACCTCCAAGCTTTTCTCAGAGAGGCTGTTCTCCAGCATTCTTTCCAAGTGATACTAAAGCTGAATCAGATGTGACTTACAGCGATGACTATTAGCTTCCTAACAGCCCTGCCATTCCCTTTAAAGGCCACCCAGAATAATCGTCTCCTTTTTTAACTCAGTGGAAGAGTAATTAGCACCTAAACCATCAACCTGTATGCTGAATGATATGGTTGTGAGAGCTACATGCTCATCAGCTCCCATTTCACACTACCCATCCAAAAAGATGAAATCATTCTCACTACGTGGTCACATTCATGCAACGTTCTCAATTAGTTTGGCTTTACTTGGCTATTTGCAGAGAACAGCCTGTGCTTCTTGACTGACGCTAGGGTCAGAGCGGAAAGATGCTGATCTAGAACAGCCATTGTGTCTGTCTTTTGTATCTTTCTTTTCTGCAGAGGTGCTTTCGCGTTAAGTACTGTATTCCTTTTAATGTTGCTGAGCTGGATTTACCTCTGTATAAAATTATTACTGCCTTAAAAATAATTTTACAAAAAGCAGCAGCAGCCGGTGCTTAGAAGTGATACCTCAGCTTCCTCTTTTCTCCTGAGCAAGACATGAATTAAGAGCCAGCTCGGGCATACGTGAAAGGCTAACATCATTTCCCCAGCAGGGAGAGGAGGAAACGCTCACCTGGAACCAGCGCAGTACACAGGGGTTTGTGGGGATGGAGCAGAGCACAGCACAGGTACCTTCACGCTGCCTCCCGCGTTTTGCCCACGCCAGCCCAATGGGATTATCACAACGGCATCTCCCCTTCTCCTTTTCTGGTGGGTGACAGCTGATGAGACGACGATAAGCTCCTACTGCTGCTGCTGAAGTGACTTAGCACTGGTTTGGGTGAGAGGCATCACAGGACCTCATTTACCAGCTCCCCGTAGAGGGCTAGCGCAGGGTTAGGAGCAGGCAGGTATGTCTGGAGCCACCACTGCCGTCCCTGCAGCCCCCCCTCTGTTCTTAGCCCCTGCAGACTTCAGGGAGTAGACTCAGACTCGAGTCCCTGCGCTCTGTCTTTCACATAAGACTCTTCACAGCCTCAGGAAACAAGAAACCAATAAGAAATGTAATGCTTTAGAACTTGAATAGGGTTCAGTTGGCTGAAGACAAGCTTCAGAGCCTGCTCCAAAGTCTGTGAAGCTGGTGGTAATGCAAAGCCTCCCCTTGACTTCAGAGGGATGAAGTCCCAAGGGAAGAGCGAGTTGATAGCTGACCTGCTTGCCTCGCAGCACAGGCTGAGAAAGGGAGCTGTAGCACAAATCTCTTTGGTGCATCAAGTTACAAGCAAGTCCCCTGATGCTGCAGATGCTACAAGAAAGACGAACATGAGGTCCAGGTCTCCCAGGGTTTTTTGTTGTTTTGCTTTTGCTGAAAGCTGCTGTTACAGGGGGACTCCTTTGCCGAGCTGATTTTGCCCAAGCGTTTGTGCTTCAAAGTGACTTAATTTAGTTAACAAACAAATTACAAATGCACACAAATCTTGGCATTTCAGAGCATCCCTGTGCTCACCTATACTCTCCTTGCTAATATTTGCCCATTCCCCTCCCTCTGTCCCCAGCCACTCCGCTGCTATCAAAGCGTTCTCGTCAGACTCTTTCCTTATACTTTAGGCTCACAAACATCACCTTTTGTTGTTCCCCCACCAGAATACCAGGATATAAAGGGCAAACCACAGCGCTGATACAAATATCAAATTAGCAACAACAAACAGGAGCAAAACTTTTCATATAGGGGTTTCCACAGGAAAGCCCAGGGACAAAACAAGATGATGTGTTTCTTACTCCCCCGCACCTTCCCAGGCTTTGCTAGCAGCGTTATTTTTGCAGTCCTCAACTGAGGAACCGGGGCCCCGAGCGCGCTGGCGATCAGTACTGCATTGAGGGCAGAGGACAGCGAAGCAGATCACACACTGTCGAGACACTGAGGCTGGGCAGGGCGAGGACTTTTGTCATCCAAATTCTAACAATTATTTAAGTGAAGGGGCTCTCCTTTGCTGCTGGGATGAGCTAAGGAGGTACGCCCAGCCTGTTTTGCTCAGCTGGTGTGTGGTAACCCACTGAGTTATAGTAACCTGCTGCCTTACGGTTGTCCCTTTGTGCCCTAACGCCTTGTTCTGCACAAGTGCTGGACTGTGCCTCCAAAATACACATACTAGAGGTAGGAAAAATGGTGTAAATTAACCCATTTCTTTAAAAAAAAAAAAAAAAACAACAACAAACCTCTCATTTAAAAAAAAAAACACTCACAGAAAAAAGCCTGTTCACAGAATATTATTCATGATAGCCTAACATCTGTTACTTTTTAAGTAGGAGTTTGAAGAAGGTTGTCAGTCCACAGTTACCCTTTATTAAAATCCTGTAGGTCAATATGGGAATAACTACCCTTTATTGAATAGATAAATTATACATACCAATGAAAAATCATCATAAATGAAAAGTCAGGGGCTTTTTTCTCCAGCTCTCACAATATCTTTTAGCATACCGTATTATACACAGTACGTGTGTTTTCCATTATGGAAAAAATGGTTTGTTGACTGTGACAGCCTGTAATTAGACTGTAATAGAAAGCAGGGGCAGTGTAACGCTCCGTGTTCATACACTGTGCGTCACAACGGGATCTCAGTCTTGGTTGCCTGTTCCTCGTGCCTGCCCTAATAACCATCATTAACAACAAAAGTGGGTAAAAGCTTTTTTCTTTGCATATACTATACAAAGTCGGCCTACGGGTTCCGTAAAAAGAAAGTGATATTACACTGACTGTACCAAACATGAGTGGTGCTAAGAAATGAGCTTCTCTCCGACACCGAATTTGATCAATGAATTCCAAAAGCATCACAGACAATCCAACCTGGATAAATGTCAGACCTGTGTATAAATCAAATTAGCTTTGAAGATGCTTCATCACAAGGCTTCCGGTACTTTCAGCTCCCAGGTAGAGCCCATTTTTTCCCAAGGTTCCAGAGTTAAACACAGTTCCATGAGTCTGTAAGTTAGTTCCGCTTGCAAAAATGCAAGTCCATTTTTATTTTACCTAGACTAGCTTCTACTTTAATGCTGGACTGGCTCCAAATTGTGGGAAGTGTTTAAGATACCATCAGCTGCCCTATCTGAGGATGGCCAGAGACACTTCCAGATGGTGAAGGCTGTAAGAGACTGCTAAAGAACAGAGTAGTACAGTAGGTAGAATGGGAAGGGGGAGTTAAAAAAAAAAAAAAAAAAAAAAAAACACCCAACAAAAACAGAGATACTGTGTAGCAATAGAAAGAGAGACAGTGTTGGATCACAGGAGAGCACATAGGAGCAAAACCTAAAGATGAGTAGACTCGTGAAAGACCTTGAAATTGAAAAGAAGTGTAACCTTGATCGTGCAGGAATTCAAAGAGAGCAGAAATTAGAAGGTCACACTGGAGGAGGCTCAAGTTAGCTGTGTATGTGAGATTTTGTGCATACTAGGATGCAAGAGGGAAGGAGGCTGCAGCAACCAACACAGGAGATGTTGAAAGAGACCTTTAGGTGGAAGGAGAGAAAACAAAGGTGAGCACAATAGGTGGCATCTGAGCGGGGCTGTTCTGATCTCTTCCGAAGAGCTGGCGGGGAAGCTGACAAAGGACGGACTCCACTGGGCTTGTCGTAGCGGCTCCGCTAGTGAATAGTCTCCAGTGACGCAGAGCCACGTGCA